ATAAATGCTAAACTGGGCCAGGCCTTGACCCATCTAGACCTATAGTTTATCTTGGACAGTTGCCGAAGAAGCCTCTGAGCCTTACTGCTGCCTGTGGTCTGTTTTCTTTTACCTCACCAACACCTGTAAGCAGTGGAATTGGCATGCAAACATTTTAGTTGGTGACTTTTTTTGTCTGTGGAAGAACTCTGCATTGCGTGCTGAGAGGTTTTGATCTTTTTTAAAATCATATTTAGGAAAGGGTGATAGAATTATATTTTTGCTGTTCATATTGTATTTTTGATGGACTTCATGCGCATGAATGGCTTTAAATTGTCCATCCTAGACCTAGGCATGTTTTGTGCTGGTGCCTGGAATTATTGCCATGTCACAGAAGTAGATACTTTTTCCAAGTAACTTAGGGATGTCCGGAAGAGTACTTGTTCTGTGCCAGTGTTTTGGAATGCTAAACAGCAGGGCTCAGGAAGCAGTAAGGCATTTAGTCTGATACTAATCCCACATTAAAATAACTAAAGAGATGATCCAAGAGCATGCTGTTAATCAGCATGTCTTTATAGAAAATAGCTTATATGGAAGGAACTGGCTTTACTCCTTCTGTATCTCGTGTTTCATTGATAGTGACAGTCGTAGGTATAACATGCTCAAAAATCATTTGGCTTAATGTCGTGTAACATTGCAGTTATAAAGTAGCACGCAGCCTTCTGTATTAAAAACAAAAGAGTCTTATATCACACACAAAATGTTATTTCAAATTTACTGACATCTCAGAATAATTTTTAGTCATTCAGTCTTTGATATCAAATGTCTGTGGGTGGCATGGCCCGTGTGTTAGGCTTGACACTCTTTAGGAGTTGGATAGGTAATCTGGAAATAAACGGAATTTACAGATTCTTTATCGGCAATAATGACAAACGGTAGCTAAAGGGAAGTGCTAAAGGATGATGAGTTATACAGAGCAGTTAAATTGATCAGCTTTACTAAACTAATGCCATGTAAGCCAAATACATGCAGATGTAGCTGTCAGTGAACTAGGGAGAATCAATCTGAGCAGACTGGTAGAATGAGGGGCTATTGCTGAGAGCAGAGGTAGGGATTACATTGACCAGCTGAATCCAGTACAGTGCTGTCGCAAAGAGGTAATGTGATCCTCTGTATTAACTGGGCAGCTGTGAATAAGAGTGCTGTATCTGTCACGTGCGTGTGTGGCGCTTATGAGGCTAATATTGGAATCCTATTTCTTTCTAATGCTGTAAAAAAATATATATATATATTTTTTTTCCTTAAGAAAAAGATTTTTAAGTGTTGTTGTATAGAGCTGAATGCTTTCTGAAAAGCTAGTTTCTCTCTCTGAATTTTGCATCTCTTAATCTCCTTCAAGCACTTGAGCATATGTATATACTGCTGCTGTTGGGAATGTATATGCAAGTACTTTAGTTGGAATTTTTTTGGAATTTTTTTATTCTAGCACTGTCTAGGATGGGGGCATATTGTCTGAGCTACCCGACTCATATGCACTTTGTGTAGTAAAACAAATAAGAACATCTTCATCATAGCTTATTTTTTAACAAGCATTAACTGCATAACAGCTACATATTGCTCTAGTTTGACGTTCAAGTTTAAATTTCCTCCTAACATCTTTGAAGACCTCTTGTGTTTGTTAATTCTTCTTTTTCAGCGCTTTAGCTCAGTTGGTCTTTAGGCATTCCAGTTTGTTCTCTAAACTATTGACTGTAGCTTCTGGCTTTGACTGTAAAACACTGTGACTATACTGCGTTCAAGATGCATACCATCTAAAATTGTGTGTTTCTGATAGGTCTATCTCTGTCTTCACAGTCCGTGAAAGGCCGTATCATAGTGAAACACGACCTCCTGTTATTTAAACTCAGACCCAGAAAGATTGATAGTTGTGTTTTCAGGAGTTTTTGTTTACCAAATCCATGTGCTCCTCTGTGGATTTGCCAAGCTAGGATAATACCACACAATTAGAGCCGTATGTGTTCCAGTTGCTCCTTGGGGCTCAAAAGAAAACACCTTAATCTGATGAAAACTATCCCAGTATTCCATCTTTCAGCCTTTTACTTGGGATCTCTTGGCTGAAAGAACTGTGACCAGAAGGGTTTTTTTAATCATTAGGTGCTTATTGGCAGAGCAGAAAAGAAGTCAAAAGATCCAAATGGTATGATTCATTATCCCCTTAAGGATCGTTACTGATCTTCATGGTCTCAGTATCCATGAATTAGCCCACACCTCCTTCAAAGTTGTGCATCTCCTTAGAAAACCTCATGTGCATGTTTAGATGTCAGCCTCAGGTTTATTTTTGAAGGCAGAATATCTGCAGATATCTTTAGATCCTTTATTTCCCTGTTTGGCCCCATCTTCCCCCAGTCTGATCTTGGAAAGGGTTATGGCATCTGATCCAGCCCAATAACTTCATTCTTTACTGTGAAATGAAAGCAAAGAAGCCCAGGTGCTATTGGCAGCTGGAAAGAGAAAATAAAGCAAAACACCTGTATTTTCCTGCCTCTCAAGCACAAGTGTTTTCTACTCTAAATCCTTCTCTTGCGCTGCCTAGGAACTTCCAAATGAGAGCACAAAAGAGAAAGCTCCTGTGGGCCCCAGAGGCCTTTCTATCTCTGCACTTCTGTATTTCTACTGCTGTCAAGATGAGTAAGTTCTTACAGTTCTGGTCAGCTGGAAAACATGACAACATACTTCCAGCCAACTTTTCAGGTTCTCTTCACAGAGAACTTTACATTGGATTGCAGTGTAAAGTTGTACTGTTGGGAGATGAATAGAGATCTGCCTCCTCTAAGTGCCCGTTTAACTAGAAGTGAAGCAATAATGGCTACTTTATGTTCCAATGTTACAGAAAACTTTGTAGTCAGCATCAGAAATGTAATCATCTTGAGCTTTCCCAAACACCTTCACTGAGCATTATCCTCTTGATGAAGCTTCAGAGATTAACGCTGCATTTTGCAGGGCTGTTCTTCAGTTTCAGTTAGTTCAGGAGGTTGAGGACCCTTGTTCAAATGATCTTAATGAGTTGTTGCTTGACATCACCTACACTGAGGAGTACGTGTTCTTTATTTGAGAGGAACCAGCAAGAAAATGGGTGCCTTATGTGTTTTGTTACTATCTGAACTGCATGAAGTAGGGTAACTTGATGCATTCTTCCTATGGATAAGGGATAAGAAAACAAAACCAGAAAGCTATTAGGTACCTATACTCTTATTGTTTGCATGTAATTATAGATGTATCCTGAAGAATGGCAAAGCTGCTTGTAAGAAAACTGACCTTGCCTCATGAACAAAAGGCAGCAGCACTAATCCATTTTAACCAAAAATCTTGTTACCATTGGATTTAGGCAAGCCTCCACCCTCCTAACCTTCCTGTCTGAAATGCTCATAGTACTTAAGAGTTAAGAAGGGTCTGTGGCATGCGGAAAGTGTATGTATCACAAAAATATACATACCATTTAGTTGTGGTGGTTTCTTAGAAAGAACTTCTGTTTCTTATCTTAGATGTTGTGCTTGGATATAATACTAATTGTAGAATTGTTATATCAGATTTGTGAACCATGTCAGTCTTGGCTAATATACTGTTGGCTCAATCTAACCAAATTAGCAGGGGAGTTAGTAAAGAGAGCAAAATAAAGAGAGCAAGTGCCTAGAGGCTTGATTCCAGGATATTGCTTACAACTAGCCTGAGACTCCAATTAGCATCTGAAATATCAAAATGAATTGATATTCGAGAAGTATATGCACCAACCTAAAGGGATGACCCTTCCGAGATGTTAAGTTCTAGTGTATTTGGAGGAAAGAGGCTATGCAGTCCTGGGATGCTGCATTCTGCCTCATATTGTTCAGGTAAGATGTCTACACCACACCCAGTGGTGTACAGATAGCCAAACTGTTTAAATGACTTAATGCATGTGTTGTTGACTGTTCAACCATCTGCTTCTTGGAGCAGATAAATTAGTTCATGCAGAGCTACTTTGTAGCTAGGCTGTAGCCCAGGTTAGTTTATTCAGCCCTATGCTATTCTCCAACTTCCAGTGTAGATGTTTCTTTTATTTCACAGGGGTATGAGTAAATCGACTTCCATATTTAAACATCCCAAGAGACAACAGCTTACGTTTTCAAAGAAACCACTCATAGCAGTAATTGCCACTGTACTTATTGTTTGAAAGACCCACTAAATCTGTTGTGGATTTACTGAATAGTTTAGGGAAAACAATCCAATTATATTTTTAGCAGCTTCTATAAGGAGTGTTCCTTCCTACGTTGTTGTTTTATGTGTCCTGACAACTATGCAGCACGTTAAAAAGAATAAGCAAGTTCCAGGCAGGATTTAGCTAGCTCTTATGAACAGTACTAAAACGTAATCTTCACTTTGTATCTCTATTCATGTCTGACGCATTTCACTCAGCAGCTTAGATACCTTCACGATAGTTACAGGGCTGTAGTTATCCTATTGCTTACTGGTGCAAGTGGGGTACCAAGCATATGTTAGCTCTTTATTCTGGTAAGATAAATTTGATGCTTGTAACATGTCGTTATAGTATTATATAGGAGGTGATGATGGTAGGAAGGAAGCTTCTTAGGATTTTTATTGATTAGTTACAATACAGTGACTGTACCTCACTTTTTGTGTGTCTTGTGAGAAGATTAATTCTGTCACATTTTTTCTCTTTCTCTCTAGTTGCTGCGCACAGTCAAGAAAGACCTACAGCAGCAGTGACACCTATACAGGCACAGAGTCCAACGTGCCTTATTCCTGCTCTCTGTTGCTTCCCAGCAGCTCCAGCCGCAGCTTTCAAACACTGCTGCTTACGTCACGGCTGTGAACGTGAACCGGTCAACCATCCCACTGGCATGTGCAGCAGCTTCTTTGAATTCTCCCAGCGTTACTCCTCCCTCTTTGGAGGGAGATGTTAGTGGGAGAACTGTGAACGCTCACGCTGGAGCTCCTGCATCTCCGGAGAATGCTTTAGTAGCTGCTGGAAACGCTGCTGTCAGTAAACCAGACAAGGATAGCAAGGTGGGCAGAGAATAAAATCACTCCCTTGAATTTTGGATTCTCCTCTTTCCATCATGCAAACCTTTAAGAGGTCTGTTTTTGTTTTCCACCTTCATTTTCTGAGTAACACCACTATAAGGCTTTTAAGGATGAGCCTGAAACTCAGGCATCCACTTTGTGATTGTAGCTATGGGCAAGGCCGTTCTTGGCCATACAAGAATAATTTAGAATGGATTAAAATATAGAGCAGAGCATCCTTGGAGAAGAGTTAAAATAGGGCAGCAGATGCAGGCCATTAGCATTAAAAGCAGAAGGTGAATTGACACAGTTCAGAAGAATCATTAGATTGACAGTTGGAGTTTTAAATATGTTATTTGTCTGGGCTTGCAGTCAGGTTCCTGAATGTTTTAGAAAGCAGCATGGTTATCAGATGTTATCAGTGACTGTCTCTAAACTGATAGAAGAAATTGCAAAAGACCATGAACTTGCCGGAACTTTAAAAGAACAGTCAAATAAAATAAAAGAAGTGTTTAGTGAAAATGGCTATTTGTTTAGCCTGTATAAATAAGTGGAAAAACTTAAGCATGAAACTCTCATTTTACTTTACTACATCATTAGAAAGGTTACTATCCTCATTAAGTTATTGTTTAGAGACAGACAGATATACAGAGAGAAAAACATGTTACGAACCATGTTTTTTGGAAAAGGAAAAAAAGTCAGCTCAAGTATCATGCACACAGTTGCCTTTTCCAAATGTGGATTAGTAGAGCCTCTCGTGAGTCCACTTTGCTTCCTTCTATTTGAACTATTTTCTCCTGAGTCTAAACCCATTCGCGCTGTCCAATAAACCATGTGATTGTGTTATATTATAGGCAAAAAAAATCTTCTGTCTTTCCAACTGTTTTTGTTTTGAGATTGTGGTATTTCTAGCATAATCTTTAATTTTTTACTTTCTTCTTAACAGCTTCCTTTAGACCTCAGATGTTTTAGGCAATTACAATGCTACTCTACCCACATGCACTCTTTGACAAAGTTTATGAAGGTTATAATCATATTCTGTACACTAATCTCGCCCACTTTTTGATTTTTTTTGTTGATTGTTGTCAAAGGAAGTACCCTGAATTTTTGTTTCCAAAATGACTTTAGCTGTAGCCAATTGAAGTCAGAGTAAGATGCCTTTAGGCAGGGCTTTTAGATAATATATTTGGAGCTTAAAGTTAAAGATGCTAACATATTTAGACTATATTAATTTCTGGAGGTTCTTTTTTTCTTTTTCTTGACCATTTCATAGACAGCAGTTCTTTGCTGAAATAGCTTTAAATTAATTGAGACTTGGAAGAGGGATAGAGAACTTTTCATTCACAGTTCACCAATTCCATGGCATCCCAAGCTATAATAAAAATCTCGCATTGCTCATGCTTTTCTGCTTCTGTGGTTAAATAGTTTATTTTTGTCTTCAGGGCTTACAATTTGGCACCTCTCATAAGCACTAAACTCACTCAGTCAAAGAAGATCACTGCCACACCCCTTAAAAAAAGACAAGAAACACAAAAGCTACTTAAATAATTCTCTTCAGGGTAAGTAATAGTCTTCAGGGATTCCTGTCTGGACAAGCAAAAAGAATGTTTACAATCTCCCCTCTAGCAGAGCAGCAAAACACAATACATTCCCCTTGTGGCAAATTTCTGCTAAATTGTGAAGCTTTTCCCTTGCTGAGGGAGGATAAATAGAAGACACTTATCTAGACAGCAGCCTCCAGGGCAGACTTTTCTCCTAGTTTGGTTTGATAGGAGTCTTTATTCTTTCCTAGGAACTTCCATGTTAACTAAATATTTTACCTCCTAGATTCCCTTTGTGGGAATCTAACTCCTTGCTCCTTTTTCTAGACTACCTTTTGGGCCAGTGTCATGAACTAAGGCACTGGTGCCTTTAACTAAGTGAAAGGGCTTAGCTAATTTATGGTCCAAAGAAGTTACTATTTTTCTCTTCATAAATTTAATAGTTATCCTTTGTAGTTATTTGTAGAGTCTCAAGTATCTCCTCCTAATTTACTGAGTTCTCTCTGATCCAAATGCCATCTTTAAGAAAGAAATGCTTAACTCTTCACTAAATATCTTTCTTCTGAAATGAAGAACTGTGTTTGGTTTACAGAAAGAAAAAAAAGGTTTGCTGAAACTGCTTTCTGGAGCATCCACTAAACGCAAGCCCCGATTGTCACCTCCAGCCTCACCAACACTGGAGGTTGAGCAAGCAGCAGCAGAGCTGGCCCTGCAAGGTGCAGTCGGGCCAGAACTTCCTTCAGCAGGCGGTCACAGCAAAGCTGGATCCTGTCCTGCTGACAACGAGGTCTCTGCGCTGGCACAGGAGACGCTGCATCGGAAAACTAGTTCTCTGGATTCCAATATTCCCATTGCGCCGCCTCCTCGGCAGCCTTGCTCATCCCTGGGTCCAGTCCTGAATGAATCCAGGCCTGTTGTCTGTGAAAGGTAAATTACCCAGGCAGCTGAATTCGGGCAAACCAAGTGCATGTGATTTCTTCAGCTGTTGCAAGGATACTTTCACTACCTGAAACTAAGTGCATCTCTGATGTGCACAGTATGTATTAGGACTGCTAGAAGTCTTTCAAAACACTGAGACCTTACAGAAAAAATGGAACCTTTATTTTTGACAATGCTTTACATGCATATCAGTCAACTAACATTTGTGTTTGTTTACTTTTCATGTTACTTTGAAGTTTTGGAATTAATAGCATGATCATAGGCCTGATACGAGAACTGAGATACATAAAATAAGCCTCCTGTTTTGCAAATTATTAACTCATTATAATTTTGCATATATGAATAATCATATTAGTTCTTTAAGACTATTAGCACTGCATAACTGCAAAGGTAAGTATATAATGAATAAGATCTTTATCTATGAGTAGGCTTCACATGTGATTTCTTCAGCTGTTGCAAGGATACTTTCACTACCTGAGTGCTGTGCCTGTTACTGTGCTCTGCTTCCTGGGAAGTGAGCCCAAAAAGCACTTTGTTATCTGGATTCTGAAGCTGCCAGACGATTGCTTTAAAGTTCTGTCATTTTTCTCTTGTGCCCCTGCTATTCTCAAATTTTGAGATCCTCAGTAGGTTGCATGGGCTGTGAAGGAAGTGGCGATTTTCTGAATACTGTCTATTATCCCTTGTAGTAGGCAAGCAGTATGAAGAATCTCATAGGATTTCTTTTCCAGTAGCTACAGGAGTGTGTGGCATACAGAAAAAAATAGTACAGCTGCAGTGTAACAGTTCTAGGAATGAACTGATTCATGCTGACTATTTTAGGCTTTGAATTAATATTATTAATTCATGGTATGTGGGCGTACCATTATATTAGAGTCCCACTGACCTTCGGCTACATCCGTGTAGTAAGACCCAGCCAGTGCATAAGTTTCTGCTCTGTCTTTAATTTGATTTGTCATACCTTAATTTTTTTAAAGGTTATTATTGTTTCTGCACAATTTCCTGGCAGGAAATTTTTATTTCTTACTGAATTTCTGAAGTAGTTTTACACTTACGGATAGAAAACAAAAGCTTGAAAGAGTTTTCTTTAAAAATTGTATCATTTACTTTCAAATTATCATAAGTCTGCTTGGCACAATAATATATTTTTAAGATTTTAATGTGAAAATAATATCAAATTCATTCTAGTGTGACCAATGGGTGTGTAAAATCATTTGCTTCCTCGTGGAATGTAGGTTTTTCAAGTATCTTGCATCCATGATGGAGATTCTTTTCTCAGACCTGCTTACTGAAAACAATGCTGAATATTTCTATTGAGCTATTAGTAACACACACTCAAATACCCCTTTTAATCTCTATATCCTTACTATTTAGTTTTATGATAATTGCTGCCAGAGAAGTGCTACCACAAATTCATTGTCCTTGCTAGTCTATTATATTTTTGCCGGTGAATTTAAATAGAATTTCATCTTTACACTGGGTTCTCCTTGTCCTTTTCGGTGCAGGGTTAAGGTTTTTCTTGCTGACTTCTCATGTCACGTTTCCATTTCTTTAGGCCACAGTGCTTAAAATGTGTTGCTTAATAATGCCTATCGCTTACATTGTAGTTGATATCTTAAAATAATTTACAAGCATTAATTTTCGTTAAGTTTGTAAGAAGGAGTGAATAAGAACCGTATTGATGATACCTCAGTGAAAAGTGGGGGATGCAGAGGAGAATATTCTTGTAGATAAGCTCAACAAAAAGGTGAAGAACAGAAATGTCCAGCTGAGATTATTCTGCTCTTTCATATCACAGTTTCAATCACAGGCTACAATCTGTTTGAAAAAGAAAAAGTGCTCTTTCTACGCTGACTCTGGCTTTGGAGCCTAATTATTACTGTGGTCAAGTTTTATTTTCAAAGGTTACTAGAAGATTTAGGAGTCATGTTCTGCTAATGTTCTGTAAGAATTGGGAGCAAAGTGCCTGACTCCACTCTGAGAAGCACTTGAAAATGTCCCCATTTTTGTGATACTGAGTTTTCCACAAAGTGCTGGCTTTCTTTAAAGTGAAACAACAAATTCTTACTCTAATTCCACTGTTTTTCCATTCACTAGCATTGCTAGTTTTCTGTAGAGCACGTATTTCCTATCTGTACTACAGAAAATAGGAGGTAAAATTCGAACCATTTAAGGTAGCACACTACCTCTTTGTGCTATGGGTTTGCAGGTGAATACTTTGATACCCATAGCTATTCCTCTAAAGGAAGGAAGATGGCAATCCCTTCCGCTGGATTGCAGGTGTTCAGTGCAGCAAGCCATTAAGTTAGTTCCCATTCCAATAGTTAGTCTTTTCCAGTGAACTAGTGGTGTTGCTCGCAGTGCTCCACAGTCCCTCATATTTTTATTGTACAGGAGGAACAGAGAAGTTAAACAGAGCTGGGAGCAGAGCTCAGGAATTCCTGTCCCCTCATGAAATGTGTTAGCTTGCTTGAGACTTCATGAAAAACGTTCAGTCATTTCTTCTGATTCCCCAGCTGAGGCACAAGTTGTCTTACGGCGTTGCGTTCTCTCTTATTGACACCGTGCTGGCGTGCTGACAAGGCTAAAGGATTGCTGTCTTTTAATGAAAAGACAGCCAACCACAATTCCCTGCAACTCCCAGAGGAGCCATGTTATGCTATGAATACAAAGTAATTTGATCATCTGAGAGATTTATTTTTTTTATGCGACAAGAGTTAGAAGACCGTTTCAAGTAGTCTTTGCCAAATCTTCTAAGTTTTTTTTGCCTTTTTTTTTTTTTTTTTAAAGAGAAGCACTGGCTAAATAGCTTTAAGTTTTACAGTAAATATACACTGCAACAATAAACTTCCCAGCACCCCACAGTGGTGATAAAGACCTGATGCCGAACCTACATACCCATCACTGCATATCCTAAATTATAATACAAGCAGTCTTTCATCCAGTTACAGTGAAGGACAGCAGTAATCTTGTTCTGTGATTAAAGTGGTTCCACGTCATTTTATCCACCACAAAATGACTGGTGTGACATCAGTGAGCAGGCCGGTGGTTTTAGAGGATAACAGTTTTTTGCCAGGTCTGGCAGCACTGAATGCTATTGAGAATGAGTCTACCCTAGAAGGGGGTTGATTATCTGTAGGAGTCAAGACACCTACTCAGCAGATTGGAGAGCTGCAGAGCAGCAGGATGCAGGTGAGCTGACAAGGAAAGGTAAAAATTCAGAGTTTAAAAGGAAAACCCTAAAATAAAATGTTGAATAATGAGTATGAATTTAACTTATATAATAACTGTAATTCCAGCTATTTATGCCTGTTGTTCTCAGCTAAAATATTCTGCGTGTGCAAATGTGATACTTTCCTCCATTTGGCGATCAAACAAGTGGTCCATAGAACAAGACAGGAGAAGCCCAAATAAAATCATCTAAAAATCAGCTACATATAGCTGGGAAGAAAATCAGTATTTTGTGTCTAGTGAAATAGAAACAATGAAGAAAGGGAGAAAAAAGAAGGATGTATTCTTTTTCATGCTATTGAAAACTACCATAAATGCCAGTATTAAAAATGAAAAGCAGAATGGAGAAATGTGAAGATAGACCAAAAGAAACCATTTTACAAATACAGAATATGAGAGCTGTGGGGGACAGCACACCCATTAGGAATATGGGGAAAGAACTGAAGGAAGGTACAAGGGATGCTTCTGGGAAGCTTAAGTATTTATATAATATTAATATTTTATCACTAACTGATTACAAAGAGTTAGGATACTTTTAAAATTAATAAAAGATACCTTAAGATAGTCGAAGCAAATGTAAAAAAGAAAATGCATTCTGCATATGTTAAATGCATGTAAGAGATATTTATAGATTAGGTGACCAAGACAGACCTGCAAATCTGACCTTCAGACACTGAAAACATTTACATATACTGAATAGGGAGAGAAACAGGTATGTCTTTTGAAAGATTGGAATATGTAGGAATAAACGTGTTTTTTCAAAATGTAAGTCATGCTTAGCAAATGTGATTAATTTTTTCAAGGACCTGGCAATGAAGTTCTGCACTAAAGCATAAGGTATTTACCCTGCAAGAAATCTGTAATGTGGGCAGTATGTTATAGGTAATAGAAAAATAGTTTTGTTCAGTGCTGATAGAGGGAGATTTGAGTGGACAGCTATGTGAATTTGAGTCTGCATCTGATCACCCATATTTAGCCAAATAGAATTTATAAAAATGAAATATAAAATTAGATGCTTGTCATAACAAAAGAGGAAAGATGTGATTTAAAGGTGCAAAGTACAACAGCACACAAGTGGAGCAGCAGATCTGAATAAGATGGCATGCATTCAATCCTGAAAAGCTCCTTACGTAAACAAAAATAATGTTAAAAAACAACAATGCAAATTAACAGGTTTCGTTATCTACTTTTCCATTCTGTGTCTTTCCTCAAGAGCCCTCCCTGGGAAAATATCGTATTAAACATTCAGTGATAAAGTTATGCCCAGGTACTGTTGTGAATGTTTTGACTATTGCGAAGTCATGCTGCCTGGAAGAGTCTGCAACTTATGTCTAAAAATGTGTTTAAAATTTTCTCTTATTTTTAACCTCTTAATATACGTATTTTTCTAAGATCTCTGTGAAAACTATGATATGAGATACATGCATTTGACTTAAATTCTTTATGTTGCTATTGTTATTTTCTGTTCAAGATGTATTTACTTAACTTGAGTTATTATAAACTTGGCAAACAGTTCTAGGCAATTTTGTTTCCTGATAAGTTTTCGCATGCAGAGGATTGTTGGTTTAAAAAAAAAAAGCTAAATTAAGAGGTTTTTCTTCTGTTTGTTTATTATGCAGGTGCAGGGTTGTGGTATCCTATCCTCCTCAGAGTGAAGCAGAACTTGAACTTAAGGAAGGTGACATTGTTTTTGTACACAAAAAACGTGAGGATGGCTGGTTCAAAGGCACACTGCAACGAAATGGAAAAACTGGCCTTTTCCCTGGCAGCTTTGTAGAAAGCATTTGAGAAGATTCATTCCAAGAGCTTCAAATCATACTGTACTGTAAAATAGCACAAGTATTTTACCAGAAAAAGCACAGTCATGAAATACTTTTAAAGGACTGTAAGAACATTATATGTATTTCTACGTTGTCTATAGCACAATTATACCAGCGAACAAAGAAGGTGAAAGCATCTGCTGGTTTTATCACTTTGGATTCTTAAGTGTGATGTGTGCCTTGTACTGTCTGATTTACTATATAGAGGAACTTTTTTTTCCAAGTGTGTTACATAAATGAGCAATTGTTTACAAGGCTGTAACTAATTTATTCTTGTTTTTTTAAAAACTTGAATTTTATGTAATAGCTACAATTCTTGTGATTATGATTTTAACAAATTATTAATTTATGAAAGAATAACTAAGGGGAAGCTGGATTCTCTCCTTATGAGCAAGCGATTATATCTGATAAAGAGCCTCCCACTTACCCTCTAGACGTTCTTCCCCTGCTGTGTCTGACCAGTGGAGTAAGTCTCTGTTTTATGAGTTAATGTTGAGTGGTAGTGATGTGGCGTCAAATAGAATTTGCCAAGCGGGGAAAAAATGTATGTTTTGTTCTTAGGACAGAGGAAAAAAAAGTCAGTGGTGTTCTTGAGTCTAGTTCTACTTCATAAATCACCCGAGTAGAGTAATGTTTCCAGGAGGTGAAGATGTAAGTGAGCAACTGAAAAAAATTCAACCGTCTTACAGTTAGGACCATCTCAAGGTTAGGAAGGCAGAAATTAAAAGTGCCAATAAGAAATTCCCTATATCTTCTGTTTATATAGGAATTTGGCTGTTTGAACAAAGCTTAGCTTTGTATATATGGCCGATTCTCTGGGCATTTACCTCTCAGGAGCCAACAAAATTGGAAGGAATGTTAAAGCCCAACACTTAGAATGGTGATAGCTTCAAAACACCTTGGATAAGACTGAATATAAAAATAAAATTCTAAGTTGTACTTAATGTCTAAAAGCGCCTAAGTGTAATTTGCTATGTTTTCTTCTCAAACTGATCTGCATGGCCAAGAGATGTTTAAAATGTCTGAGCAATAGTGGTGGTGAGTGATGCACTTGTGTTAAAAGTAAAAAGCTGTATGAAACACTGTGAAAACTTTACTAACTTCTTAACCATTGCTACTTTGGTATGTTCTGACTTTTTCTTTGTCTTGCATGTCTTACTCAATTCTTGCAGTAATATAACTGTGCATGATTTACATTTTTCATTCAAATTTCCATTTACTGGGTTATTTCACTCTGAAAGTTTCCCGAAAGCCACTTGACCAAAACTAGTGAGCATCTCACCTTCAACCAGAGAAGGTGTCCAGTGTTTGAATCGTTAATAAAATATCATAATGTCCTTGCAGCTGACAGATATAAAGAATGAGACCTGCAAGAAAAGTGATGTTAGTCTTTCAGGGTTTTGTTAGAGATTTGACACTGGCAAACACACTACTCAGCCAAGTTTGTTTTTTATATTATTGTTTGATTATAGCAGTCTAATTGTGATTCTTGCAAGACACTGAGCACCATCATCTCCAGTTAAATCTCACGAGATTTGGCTGTTGCTCAGCACTTTACCAAGGGAAGGCAGTAGTGTGATTCCATATCACGTGATACACAGAAGCGGTGATGAACAAGTATGCAGTGATGTATTAAATCCTTATCATTTTATTTTGTTTGAAGTTATATGTTGAAAAATATCAAATATTAATGACAAGGATTTCTTGCAATATCAGGTAGTATCATAATGGTCTTAAAAATAAGAAAAAAATATATCTATAAATATATATAGTTGAAAATGACAGCATTCCCAAATTAGCTGTGTCTCTGAAACACTGTATAATTCAGCCTTTGTGTTTTTAAATATTTTTAAATAGTTTACTTGAATATTCATGTAATATATAAAGGTTTTGTGAAATGAATTTTAGTTAGAAAGAAGCTGATATCAGCTTTTGTCAGCATAAATTGACACTAGTGTGTCATAATAATCTTATTTTGGAAGATTTAGTGCATTTTATATTAAAGACTACTAAAGGTTAATTTTTTTCTATCTCTATTCTCCATATTTTAAACTAAGTGACTAAGGTACCTCTGTTAATAGAATTTCCTGGTGTAAAGTCAGTTAAAATCAGCTGTTAATTCAATAGTTCTGTTAGATGGAATACATTAAATGATTTTTTTTTAACATTAAATAAATGTTTGTAAAAAGGGCTTATTGCAGAGCAGTGCAACAATGACAAAAATGCAGTTTATCATGCCTTTCTTGTGATCTTTTGAAGTTTTTTTTTGTTTTGGCTTGGGATTAATTCAGTGTAGAAACAGACAAACCCTGTGCATTTGCTTTGTGTAATTCCATTAAAAAACTTTTGTAAGATATTTTATATCTGTTTGAAGTCCAGTGAATGTTAAGTGTTTGATTTACTATGTAAAACTTTCAATCCTAATAAATATTTTCTTAGCAAACAACTAACGAAAAATGTGTTTGCAAATATTAAACACAAATTAGTTGTTTGACAATAAAATTACCAGAACTTAATTTCAGCATTTATCGGAGGACATCTTGTGCTAATGGAGGGAAAGTCTTCGGATTCCGTAATGTTGGAAGTTCAGGATAATGGAATATAATGCAAGAATTAAAATTGTAGAGATAACTGATGGATCTGGCTGATCTTTTCCATGTCTATATTTCTGCAAGTAACTTCAAAACAAGAAGGTAACTTCCATCTCAATTTCTGTTCATCACTGACTAGTTTGTTCTAGGTCTTGTCATCAGCATATAATCAGGCACATATGAGTTAAAGTGCTTTCCTAGAGAGAGAAGCATCTAGTGTAGTGGATCTGCTGTGTGTATATTGAGAGAGAGTCTGCAATGCTGGGAGTAAAGCATCTACTCCAACTTTCACTGAGGGCAAAAGTGTTGGGTGATAAGACACTCCTTTGCCGTGGTGAAGTTTGTTATGCACAGCACTCATAACAGCCTAACTAGGAGATCTGATTTGGATGTGGTTAGCTATCCACTATGTACATGAGCTGATTGGAAAATGGTGGAAAGTGGATTCTGAAAGGGGTGTCTTAACTCTCCTCCTTTTTTTTTTTTAAAAAAAAAAAAAAAGGAATTTTAGGAACAGAAAAGATGGAAACTCTACTTTGTTTATCTTTTTCAGAATTGTGACCTGACATCATTGTGCCCACAGTGCATCTGTAGGAGAAAAGTGTACACAAACATCATCGTTGTGCAGTAGAAGTAAGACTCTTTATTTCTTTGGGTTGCGGGTTTTTTGGTGTTGTAATGATTGAGTGATGCTAATATGTGTTTGGCTTGCCAAAGGTGCTTGAGATCTTGTTCACCCTTGCTTCATTACTCTCTGCCTTACAGAAGTAATACCAATTATGATAGTTTTGTGTAGGCTTAAAAACAGGGCTTCCAAGCTTTCTGACTTTTTTTTATAGAGCTGGCCAAATGTTATAACTGGATTGTTCTTTCCAGTGTTTAAAGGTGTATATTGACTTTAGTGAAACACAAGAACTCACTTGTCTACTTAACAAGTTTTTGTGTCTGACATTACTAAAACTCCTGTGATAGTCTTTCATATATCTGCTCAATAAAGAGCTATGTCACTGGTTTCTATAGGATATGTCAATTCATCTGTCTTTGGATTTTTGCCA